TTATATTATTGCATTTGGCCCTCACCCATCGGATAGATTTTCATTTTGACCTTCTCTGGGGAAAACGTTTGGGTGCTCTGTAAAGTTTACAACTCAGTTTTTAAGTTTGTCAAAGACATTTTCTCAGCAGCTGTACTTGACCAAAAAACTAATTTTTAAGTTGAAACCTACTGACCTTTGAGTAAAACTTTAAAACAGGGGTAATCTCATGCAGAAAATATGCACATGGATTGATATGATGATAATCTGGTCCCTCCTCATATATCTCTGTCCGTCTGTGAGAGATTACACACGGGTGTGAAAAAAGCAGGGCATCCATCTCTGACATTTACAAAAAGTCTGATTAAAGGTTACGTTACTCTGAATGTAAGGAGCGTCTAGTCTTTTTTTTTTTTTTTTTGGTCACTCTCTTTGAAGGTTAGAGGGATGTTAATGCTCTGCCTCAATGAAGGCCAAAGGGAGGACAAGCAGATGAGAGGGAGAGGAGGAAATAAAAAGAACAGCRTTTGCTGAGAGGCGAGAAGATGAAAGGATCAGAGTTGGGTGAAGAGCTCAAAAATATGGACAAGAGAGGGTAAAAAGGAGGGGATGACATCTGAGATTTCACCGCACCTGTAACCAAATGTTTATCCTCCAGGAGTTCCGACAAGATTAGCCACATTTTAGAGCAGCACAAACACACACACACACACACACGTATACAAACGTGCATACTTGTGTACACTCACTAAAAACATTAGTATTGATTCAGGTGATTGCTTATCAGGCTGAGTGCTCTATTCACTATTGACTTGGAGGGATGTAATCAGCAGAGACTGTTTTGGATGGTGCGCACACACATGCACACACAGACACACTCATAACAACAAACTCATCGTTTCGAATCAGCCGGGGATTATGTGTTTGTCCATCKAAATAAATAAATAATACAACATGAAAAAATACAACCTGTGAATCGTTCCGTGTTGTGAACACATGTGATGACACAAACACAAACTCATCTAATCAGATTTCACAGGCCGGGGAGGTGTTAACTAGGTTTTTACGGAGGGGTCGATGCGCTGCCATCAATTTTGCAGCTTTTCTCTCCTCCTCTTCCTCTTCGTCTCTATCTATCATTTTCTTTTTCTTTTTTCCACTGAGGGGTACGAACACGCAGGCAGAAGCGGCGTTGATTACCGTTGTCCGCTAAAACACATTTGTCACAACGTGTGTGTGTGTGTGCAGGCGGAGAGTGTTTGCGATTGGAGAATAAAGTGAGGATCAAAGCTGCATCGCTGAAAAGACGAGAAGAAGGGTTGATAGTTCTCGCGGGGGATGGGGGGAGGTGAAAGACGGACAGAGGAGCGGTAAGGGGAGACACAGGTGGAGAATAAACATATTAGAAAGGCAGTGGGAGCAGTAGACTGCAGCATAGGTGTGTGTGTGTGTGAGCGTGTGTGTGTGGGAAGTGTGTGTGGGGGGGGGCACATCTGAAGTATAATGGTGCCACTAGAGAGCCACATTTTCAGATGTTGTGAAAGATAGAGCGAAGGAGGTGGAGGCTTGAAGGAGATTGATGGGGGGAAGGCAAAGAGCCAGGGGAAAGAAAGCAAAGGTGCAAGAAGTGAGAGATGAAAAGATCCGATTGGGAAGTGCGTTTGAAAGAGAAGGAGAAAAAGGGTAAGGGGAGATGATGGGTGGGCGATCGCTCCGTTAGGTGCAATAGGGCTGTCATCCTTGAGTTATATATATATATATATATATATATATATATATGTATATATATATATATATATATATATATATATACACTTTTTTTGAGGAACTGGGAGAAAAAGAAATCTAAGAAACTAATCTCCTCTCAGGTTGTCCCTGCCTCCCCCTCCTCCCCCTTTGTCTTATCAGTCAAATATTCCTCTTTCACTCTTCCGCTCTCCTCGTTTTGTAAGCCCCTGTTTTGGGCTCGCAGCTTTCATTTCCTGTTCCTTTTTTTTAAGATTTCCATGTGGTTGAATGTATTGGTGGTGTGATGTATTCACTGTGACCGGTTCAATGTGGACAATGATTGGACTGAAATTGACACTGAGAGACAGACAGGTTTTAATTGATTTTTCAGCAGGCATTTGTAAGACCCCCATTTCTCTCCCAAATGCCAGCTGTTTAAATAATCATTAAACTGGATGAAAATACAGATTTTTTTTTTGTTCTTTTTCAGCAGCTGAATCCACAATCCTGATTCTATTTAAAGCAGTCTGATTGAAGGTTCTTAACTACATGTGCTAATGTTTTATTTTTTTCMTCCTATAAGCCACTCAGGCACATATATTATTCCTGCAGTCTTTGCTGACAGCATTCTGAACAACCATGCCTCATAAACGCACTGATTTGCAGGCTATTCTGTTCTCTCCTGCTCTCATTTAATAAAGTGCTGTTATGCTATTGTTACCGCAGGAGGGAAAACATGAAAAAACACCCAAAGCTCCTCAGACACAGCAAGCTGCTGACAAATCACGCCGGTTATTGCTGTGTGCGTGCCATTATTGCTCAGCTCGCCCGAGTTTATGCCAGCAAGTGCGTGTGTGTGTTTGGGTGTGAAGTTTGCGTTTTTGTCCTCCTGAGGTTGCTTTGGCAGGCTGGCAGGTGCAAACGACGGGGAGCTAGYAACAAACTGGCATCACCGCGGATTCAGCAGATGGCCTTTCACTCAAGAAGCATTCTTTCCCTCTGCTCTTCACTTTCTCCCGCTCCTTGTTAAACACGTTGGAGCTTCTGCCTCCCAGCATCTGCGCGTATGTTTGGGCCTGGGTTTTTGTCTGCATCTTAATGATCCTCCAGTCCTTCCGAACATCTTCGTTTCTGAGTCGCTACAGGCTTTTGTTTTTTTAAGGCCAGATCCCTGAGAGTTTTTTTTTTTTTTGGATTTCATGTGGGAGCTTTTCTCTGAATTTGTTTCATCAAGGTTCTTTTAAAGCTTGTTTTTCTGTCTGCTTTGTTTGTTTAGCTACAAATGTTCTAC